CTAAATTCGTAAAGCTTATAGAGCAGGCAAAGGAGAAGAAATATAAATACACACTTTTATAATTTATCTAAAGAAAAAAACACAATTATTTTGCAATCGAAACAAATTTAGAACGCTTTAATTTTAATTAGTTTTAAAATACTTCTGGAACAATCTGTAGAGTGCCAGGACATTTTGAACAAGCTATAAAGAAAAACAAAAACAAAAGCAAAATATTTATGTATACATATATGTGTATGCAAACATACATACATATATGTATGCATACATATTTTGCATGCTAACCATATTGATATAATTATATATCTATGTATCGAACATAATGCTTAATTAGTTAGTTAATTATTGAAACCAGTGACAAACGAAAAATAATGCAAAATTCATTTTATTTATTTTATTTGTTTATTTTGAAAATCGCCAACCGTCTCTACTCTCTACTCTCCCATGTCGCCATGGCTGTCCCCGTCGTCGTCGAAATGCCAAAATGCAAGCAGTGCACTCGCTGCGCAGATGTATGCCGCTCAACTGTCGACGCAACAACAGAACATGTATGTGTGTGTGTGTGTGTGTGCGATTGTGTGTGTGCGCATGCCTGACTATGTGTGAAAGAAACTTAACTAAAGTGCAAGAGCTCATATTTGTTTTGTACATTTTGTTTATGTTTTTGTTTTCTTCCTCTTCTTCTTCTTCTTCTTCTTATCTTTATTATTATAAGTATGCGCTTCTACCACTCGAACACCATGATTTTATGATTGGCCAGGGCATTGCCAATGAGCAATATTTTTTAGCAGCTTTCAACAACAACAACAACTACTACCACAAATTTCGTATATTTTTTGCCAAAAAAAAAAAAAAAAAGAATAAAGAGAAAAAAAAAATATGCTACTTGACAATGTCCTGGCACTTTAGTTACGTTTCTTTTACCTTTCGCGCATACGTTTGTACGGCATTTACTAAGTTACTCTATCCCTCCTATATATATGTGTATGTATATATGTATATGTACGCACATAGGTTCGAGAAACTCGACATCACACCAAAGAGTGCTCAGAAAATCAAGCCCGTGCTGGAGCGCTGGATGAAGGAGGCCGAAGAGAGGTGAGAGTATGGAGGCAGTTCCACACAACGTCCAGCCAAGCACCTAGCAAACGCAACTAAACGAACGTTTCTCTGTCTCATTTCTGCAGCCACTGGAACCGCTACAAATCGGGACAAAACCATCTGACCGACTACATTGGCGTGGAGCCGTCGAAGAAGCGCAAGCGTCGCACCTCCTTCACGCCGCAGGCCCTGGAGCTGTTGAATGCGCACTTTGAGCGCAATACGCATCCATCGGGTGAGTGGTAACTTTCAGTGGATCAAGTGGATATCGAATTGGGCAATGTATGACATATCTCTCTCTCTCTCTTCTATTCTACTCTTAGGCACCGAAATAACGGGACTGGCCCATCAGCTGGGCTACGAGCGCGAAGTGATTCGCATTTGGTTCTGCAACAAGCGGCAGGCCCTGAAGAACACCGTTCGCATGATGTCCAAGGGCATGGTCTAGGAGGGCGTGCTCCCTCCCATATGCTGTATATAGTTTGTGTACGTCTGTGTAGATGTCTGAGTGTGTGTACGTGTGTGTGTGTGTGTGTGTGTGTGCGTGTTATTTTGTGATAGTTTTAAACACTTAGCGCTTAGACTCTAGGCCATGTAAAGTAAAAGCTGTGTCATAGCATTTACCACTAATGTCTGCATATGCCACTCCCCCCGCAACCAGAAAATCGAATACCAGAAAGAATGCATCTACAATTTATGACTAACATTAATCATATCCCAAATAGTCTAGAATCTATGCTCGAACAGATTTAGGGCCCATTTTCTTATATTGATGTGCCATTCCAAAAAGAAAAAGAAAAAATTAAAAAAAAATAAAATAAATAAAATTAAATACATATAAAAACATGGAATAATATATAAATATATGTATTACGAATTCACAACTAGAGATTTACATTTAACAATTTGTATGGCTAAGCGTAAAACCAAAATGACAAAAAATTAAAAAAAAAAAACAACAACAAAATTAAAACAAATGACACAAGTAAATTAAATTCTTTATAAATTATAAGCCTTGATTGAACAAAAACAAAATAATTGCATTTAATGCGTTGGCTATATACATATATATATATAAATTAATATAACGTATATACTAAAGTGTATTTTATTTAAACAATTTATAAATAAATTATAAACTCTAGCCATTAACAATTCTCATTTGGCCATCATGAAATCCACTATCCGTAAATCAAGTAACAACTGAATCCCACTCAAATGTATGGCAGCGCACTAACAAAATTTAGACTAAGCAAATTTATGTAGCAATTTAAAAAGACAACAACAACAACAACAAAAGAAACACACAAAATAAAAAATATAAAATTGACAAACAATTCATGAAGCAAAATACTTCAATTGCAAAATTCAAATGGTACACAAGAAAGTCATTAAAGAGAAAATTGGAGGCAG